TATCGAGAAGAATTTCAAGGGTATTCTGAGGAGAATTCCAAGCAAATTTTCAGAATTATTTAGTGGAGAGCTCCAAGATAATTATGAGCAGAATCTGGGAGTGTGTTCAATCACTTCAAAAATTGTCTTGTCATAATCAAGTCAACTTATATTGGGTTCCTGGTCATTGCGGGATTGAGGGAAATGAAAGAGCTGATGCACTAGCAAGACTCGGATCTTCTCATAAGTTCATCGGGCCAGAGCCCTTTTGTGGCTTATCGGCTGCATCTCTTAGAATGGAGCTAAAAGCGTGGGAATCTTCAAAAGTGGAGGAAAACTGGAAGAACACTTCCATTGCTAGGCAGTCGAAGCGATTTATTAATCCAAACATTTCTGTGACCCACAAAATCCTGGAACTTTCTAAGAAAGATCTTAGTATATATGCAGGTCTTATAACAGGTCATTGTCCGAGCCGTTATCACTTGAAGCTGATTGGAAAACTTCAAGATGATGTGTGTCGCTTCTGTGGCATAGAAAAGGAAGACTCGGAACATTTGCTATGCCACTGTCCGACAATTTTCAATAAAAGGCGTAAGTTCTTCGACAAGGGGCTGATAGAACCCTTTGACATTTGGAGAACAACTCCCAGTACGGCAGTGCACTTTATTCGAAGTATAATGCCGTGCTGGGATAATGCTGTTAGTCAAACGATGGCGATCACTCCTAATAATAGTGATACGGCATCTTGATATAGCTAAAGAAAAAAAAAAATGGGGAATATATCACAATAGATCAGAAAAATGGTCGCAGTGATGAAAATACCCGACAAGGAAAAAAAAAAAAAAAAATGAGCAGAATTGTATGACAATTCTGAGGAGAATTGCATGAAAATTTTAAGAAATATTCAGACTAATTCTAAATAGAATGTAAGGAAGTTTCAGTAAGTTTTTTTCGAAACGAATCTTAGGATGAATTCTTCGATCTCAAAACAACCGGGGAAATCAACAAAATTCCGGGAAAACCCCGGAAAATTACAAATTGGGATTTGCTGGTCATTATGATTATGACAAATTCAAATTTGATTTTTGTTTTAAGTCACCCAAAATTTGAAAATTTAGCTTTTTTTAAATCGTTTTCCTCTCTACGCTTTATTCAAAGAGTGCACAAAATATGAATTTATCATTAAATGAGTTGCTTATACGTAAATTTATTTCATTTTTTTTATTTTTTATTATTTGCCCCTCCTCGACCTATTTGAGTGATGTCGGACATGAAATGAAAATATTATTTGCATCATCCGTATGCCTTATTAGTTAATCAAATAATAATAACAAGACAAATGTTAACAATTTTTAGACAATCAATTTTGAAGACCTCGGATATAGAAACCACAATTTTTCTAGATAGCGGTCCAAGCAGAAATCTCATTATTCTGGAACGAGGTCAATTTTCCAAGATGGAAAGATCGTGAATTCACACGGCAAATCAATCTGACTCATAATGGAGTCAAGTTCACTTATATTGGCAAAAACGTAGGTCAGTGAGTAATTTTTTACTCAAAGGTGCGTAAATGTCACTCATCAATGAATAAATGTCATTCAAATATGAGTGATATTTGCTCATATTTGAGTAAAAATTTACTCAAATGCGAATTTTAGTGAACGTGGGACTCACATATGAACCAGATTTATTTGCCGTGTAGAATATTTGGCATGCGTCTCGAACTTACCATCTGGAAATCGAAAAAAAAATACAGATTCTGGGATAAATTTTAGAGATTTTGGACCAATTTAATTTTGCAGGGCTGGGACTTAAGCATTCGAAATCTCTAAGACAAACAAGTTAAGAAACGGCCCGGAATAATTTTCATATTTTGAATATATGGACTTTAAGTTCATTATTATTATTATTATTATTTTAATTTTATTTTATTTTTTTTTTTTTGTGGGCGTTGGCCAAATTTGGATTTTTCAGATGTAATCCTAAATAGGACCTAGATTATTTAATACTCTAGTAAACTCAAGTCCGTGCTCTGTCACAATGTTTCATTGTGATTAATCAACACTCAAAGGGGTAAAATATAAAATTTGGGGTAAATTTGAAAGAAAGGGAACTTGGAGTGTAGAGCTCACTGCCCACTGGACGATTCTGAAGCCTGGCCAAGTCAGTGGGGTATGGGTTTATTTGATTGAACGTCATTTCCAATGTATATATTGATACATTCAAACCATTGGCATTTTTTGATAAGACAGAGATAGGATGCGGAGGGCCCGCTTAGGAGGAGCGTAACCCATGTTATGGTTTCCATTTATTAAATAGTTCAGATAGGCTAGAAATGACAGGTTTATAGTGAGAGAATGTACCATATTGGGAAATCATAATTTTCATAGGGTTCAGAGCGGCTGAGCTGTTCGTTTGTAGTTTGACCTTCCTTCAAAACCAATTTGGCTCTTGAACAATTTTAAACTTGTTCTGCATTATTCACATGTTGCAATTATTGAAAAAGAGCTCGATATAAGATAGCCACAGAGAACAGACGTTGAGGCTCCAAAATTTCTCTAAAAACTTGTGTAAAGATTCCTATTCGACTTAAGCGCCACTAACGGCGACTTCCCCACTTAAAACCCTCTTTGACAACATGATGGCGCTGGTGTTGCAAAACTTACACTAGACACTTAGTGCTGGTCGCTGGTGGCAATTTTCAGCAGATAATTTATCGATACTAGCGCCAAATTGGTCGAAAGTGATAAATTTATAGATGAAATCAGGAGATGCTAGCGCTACGTAACGGCAACGTTTCCACTTATCTCTGTGAGATAGCTTAATACAATTAAATAGAAATGCCAAAATCTTACCGAGTAGTTTAGCTGTTTTGATTTCGGTACAGTTTGTTGAGGTCGGGTATAGTTTCTGAGTATGGATGCCCATTTTGAAATAACTTATACTAGCACAGAGTAATAGTTTTATTGCTAGGGAACATTCTTTTGGGATCGTCTTTTCTTCATACAATTCTCATTATTCATACTATACTAATCATGTTCAGTCTTAGACATGTTATATGTTTAAGCCCCGTTCTAGATTTGTTTGTTATTCATATCTTATGCATTACAGCTCGCGAGAGGTTACCAAATATGGGTTCTTTTTCTCATCCACAATAGTTTGGAGGGAGGGGGCGATCTGAGAGCTGAATAGAGGCAAATAAAATAGGGAACACAACACCATGACCCAAATGACTAACCAACGCACTTAACTTGTTCTATTTCTTTCTTCCCCTCATGTACCAATATTACCCACCTGAGAACAAATGGGAACACGGCCAGAATTTCAATAGGAAGAAGGAAAAAGCGAGAAAACGTAAGAGAGTAAGCAGTCAGAAAGGATTAGGCCATTTGGAAACAGCCAATTTATACTGGATGGAACTGGTAAGTAGGATAAGAATTGTAAAAAGGTGTGTGCTTGCATGATTTACCTATTTTAGAATTACCTATAAGCCACATAAGAATATCATTTCCTTCAATTACTAGTCCATTGCAGCACACACCTAATAATGATCACTAACATTCATATAGTTTCAGCATTATCGACATTTATAATCAAAAGGTGAGTTGCAAAGTATAATTACCATGCATAGATATAAGTTAATGTACCAGAACCTGGACGAACACGAGCCTACCCAGGGGAGGACCCGAATACGACCACCCATGTGTGTCTAGAGTATCGCACGAGCTGACGAGTGCAACGGGAAGGACAGTAGGTGTATAGACTAGGGGGTTAGTCCCTAGATAAGTCAACTTAGCGGTTGGCACAGCCTATACACTGAACAATTAAAATTACAATTACAATTTAAGTTCACAATCCTTGAAAAATTTAAATACTTCTGAAGCGTAAATAACATTTTATGATCTTGGACATAGATTTTTTTCTAAAATCTAGTCTTAAAAATGTTAGGACGAATATTCAAGCTACCGAGCTTCAAAGATTTTTCAAAATTATAGTCTTTGAAAAAATGTCTAGCGCAAGTGAATTTTCCTAGACCATTTTTCGAAATATCTAAGACATGGAAAACTTCCTAGATCACGAAGTAAAGAACCCAGGATGTTGAAATCAGTTTTTTTTTTTATCGAAACCTCTGAAAATTTGAGATAAAATTTTCTTTGGCTATTAAAAGATCACAAGGCAAAGGACAAACTTAGAAATTTTATAATCTGTTCTTGAAAAAATCGAAGATAACGGACCCGAATGTCTAGATCACGAAGATGAAAAAAATAAAATAAAATATTAGTGATTCTATCAGCACCAATTGGACAGTTCTGGTTTGTTCGCAACTATTCTTTGCCGGACTTTACACGCTGATTTTTAACGAACCTTTTTAACACAAATTTGTTACCAAATCAAGCTGTTACTTGCTGTGATTTTTTAAAGACAAATTATTCACTCTTGGCATTATTAGTCGTAAAAAAGTGACTTTAGTGACTAAATTTTAAGAAATAGTGACTTTAGTGACTTTTAGGTGAAAAAAGTGACTTTTTAGTGACTGAGTTGAAAATAGTGACCAAGTCACTAAAAAGTGACCTGCTACCAGCCTTGTGCTGCTCACTGCTGCTATCAGTCGATCACTCACTACGTAGTGTCTTCGCCGTGTCCGACAAATTCGCTCAGCTATAATTGTGCTCGTGTAGGGTAAGTGATAGTTGAACAGCAAAGCGTTCAAAATCTTATTATTATTAAGAAGGGTATTCGCCCTTTCCTTGTCTTCACCAAGTTGAAAAGTTGTGGGGAAGACATGTGAATTTCTTTTTTTTCGATCTCGTTGAAGACTGTTTCTTAAAACACAAGAATGACATCCCTGTTTATAAGAGAGACTCTAAAGCGACTTAGCGCTTTTGAATTACAGATCAGTTATTTGCCGTTCTCTTCACTGGAATATTTTCAAAGAATTTCGATCGTTCCACAAGTGTCATATTACAATAAAATTGAAAACCATTACCAAAGAAAAACAACATAGAACAACATTTACTTACAAATCCGACAGCCACAGTGTCGTTATGATCCCCGGAATAACGAACGTCTTGAACAGGGTGCTGGTGATCAGATCGATGTCAATCAGTGCCATCGTGCGTTTTTGTACTAAGTTGCTTGACACACCAAATCAAAGAGAGCACAAACTTTCGTCGTTGATATTTTTGCGCACCCGGGGAGTTGTTTTTGTCGGCTTCTTCTCTTTTCGCTCACCTCAGCCTCAGCTGTTCCGTTGTTGACTATTAGGTACTATCAAAGCAGTATAACACACGGAACACTTTCACGCAGCGAAATTTCCCTATCAGCGAGCGTTGATTAAAAACTATTCACTACTAGCTTTCGAGTTATTCGTATGCGGGTGGTGGCTTTCAGATGAAGTATTTTTATTTATACCTCTCCTACGTCGTCGTACACATTCAAAGCATGCACTCTTGATCTACTAAATGATCGGAGCTATCCCCTTTGTGTTGTTATATCACTGGCTGAATGGCTCGCTTTTTGTGCCACTTCCGCGGCGACGACTTCTTGGTTGTATATTTTTAATTCTTTTAAGCAAGCGTTTCCTTTGTCCCGTAAAAGGAAATCAAGAGCTTTATTGAGGCATTCTCACACGAAACTACTAGAGGGTGAAACCAAATTGAAATACAGCGTAGGTACTAGATGTGTACCACAATAAGCAAATAGTTACAATAGCTCTTACATAAGCGCGTAGAATAACTGTTATTTGTTAATGCTAGCTAACACACTCCGGTTTGTTTGGGTCGATATCGATTAGTCAGCAGCAGAAGCGACTGCAATTTCAAACTTTACTCCACTCACTCACAGTTCACGTTCGCTGGCCGAACAAAAGCGCAACAACTGGTACACAATTATTGTTTAAAATATACGTACTTTCCACGACAAGAGAAACCGGATAGAATGAAATGATAAAGAAAAAAAAAATAGTTACTATAATCACCTCTTGAACAGTCGCCGTCGAAACGACAGGTACATTCTGAGCGTTCCGACCGCTGACGACAGACTAGTTGCTTTGACTATGATGACTGCTCTCCTCATCCCGTACAATGCTCAGCTTCTCAGTCCGGCTCGTTTTGATTCTCTCTCGACTGTTTTTTATTTTTTGTTCGAGAATTTCACTGAGACCGGTTTGGCGTCCCTCTGCTGGCTGGCTCTGAATCGTAAACAATGATGCCTAGTTAATGCTATCAAGTAGCAAGCGAAAACATGACGGCTTGACTTGTACTTATGTTCTCTTTCTTTCCTCGCGCTGTTTGCTGATAATGTTTTCTTGGGCGATTGCAAAAAAGCGGTACCGTTTTCGCGATGTTACTGAGTTGTTGCTCGACTCGGTTCGCGGTTGATGGAAGACGCACTCACGTCGACGGCAGAGAGTAATCGCATGAGGAAATTACGATAATCGTATCGCACTGATTATTCTTTCTCTGGGTAGCGGAATTGCTCGGCTCAAAGGTCGATCATGCGAGGCTCGGTAAATTATTGTCAGCAAATGAGGATGTCGCTGTTTGCTGGAACAGTAAAACAGAAACAGATATTCAATATTATCACCTATTACCTTGTTAACTGTCATTTTAGTCAATGACAAAAAATAATAACTGGGTTTGAGAAAATTGAGCTACAGTTCCTTAAATATTATACGGCAATTTGTAAAACTTATACAAAGTCAATCAAGCAGCATTCAAGCATTTTGTTTAATTGAAATGTCCATTTGAAAAGACCAAAATAATTTAACTAATATCCGCAGAGCACGTTCTAAAAATAGAACAGTGGGGCAAGATGGGTCAGCTAGTACATTTATAAATTTATGTGTTTGTCACAATCAACAGGTTCAATGCAACCCCAATACCAACTTTTTTCTCAGTGTGCCTGCTGTGCCGAGAGTGTCATTAGACTGATTTTTTTGTTTCGTATAATGGTATTGTTGGCAACCCGGTTAATTTGACAGTTCAAATGTTTTGTTTTGAAGACAACAAAACAACAAGCAGTGGAATCCTATCCCATATACTAACTGCCGTGACTCTCGGTTCGTTGCTCTTAAATTCTATCGGAAAAGGACTACACTAAACCTAATAAGCAACGGCCTCAGCCACCGAATCGAAGCTTGGAGCGATAACCTCCGGGGGAGGTACTTCCAATTTTTGACAGGACAATAACTTCTACTGGATTGGAGTATGATGAGGACTCGGATGAACCACAGGTGACGGTGGTAAGTAGACGAAGCGAGCGTGCATCATCAGAGGAAACTGGTCCAGATCCTCTTCAGATTCTGATGAACGCTTCCGTGAGGAGCGATGCATGCGTCGCCAGCGTTCTAGTGGGAGTTTCAACCGGAATCAGACTTCCCTGGTGGAGGAGGGGTTTAATATTTCCACACGGTAAGATAGTCCAACGATCGGACAAATGGAGAGAAGTATGATGTCTTTGGCAAGAAGCAGTGCCGGCCAGAGAACACCTGTAAAAGCTGGGGCGCTGTCAATGGTAGAAAAGCAAACACCGGTGAAGATTCACCTCCGAATATGGTCCGAATGATCATCGAAGGCGAATACATCTATGTCAGTTACAATGAGGATCGAATCATGGAACTGAACTGGTTGGTTGATCAACGAAGTGGTGAAGCGTTACGGAATCAAACATGCTAAACGACCACTGATAAAACTACTACGGCCAGATGGTGGCCTTTGTATGGACACCAATCCCCCTACGAACTTTTGTGCGGCTCGGATTCCATAATCTATTCGTATCTCATAGAGTTCGAAAAGCTGCGTTCGGATCAGTTCTACGAGGATCGCGATATTGAAATGCTTACCGAACTGCTCCAATCGCTGGGCACCATGGAAAACACCGATCTCTAAGAGCTAAACCTATAAACCTTCAACCAACTCACCGATATCAACTTTCAGGAGCACACCCCGCCACAAATCGATCTACCAACATCTTCAACGTTCCATTCACTCCCTCCTTCAAGGTTTCGCTCTCCCCACTAACCAACTAACGAATCACATTCCAAATCGGCATTATGACCAGTCCCTACATGGTCATCTTTTCAATCAGCTTCCGGAACGATGCCACCCCTTTCCCAACTTCGATCAAACTGTTCTGAAACACCAAAGCCTTCCGCACCAGATCCTCGAACAGTTCGATCGTCTTGAGTGGAGGTTCTCCGATCTCGAAGTCTTTCGGTAGCGACTCCAGCACCATCCGGAAGACCTCCATATTACCAAAGAGGTAACTCTAAGACTAGAAGGCCCCGAAGAAACATGCGCAACTTTTTGGCTCAGCTCTGGTACTCTCTTCGGTCCCAAGCTAATCGATGCACCCCTCGAAACATAAGAAAATCCACGAACCCCTCATTTTTTTCTGTCAAACTTTCATAGCGAATCAAAACAAACATAGTGTAGTACTAGAAATTCAACTACAATGGGGTACATTAATCGATTTGCTTGGGACCAATAGGCTAGTCAAGTAGTGAGCCAATCAAGAGGTGGTCACTCTACACACTTATTTTGCGCCAACATTTTTCTCAGTGTACCTCAGTGTGCCGCAGCTGTACGGGCAGTGCCAAGAAGTCATTGAACTGACTTTTATTTGCTTGTGAATAATGCCTTGCTTGGCAACCCGGTATTTTAACAGCTCTTGTTTTTGTTTTGTTTTTCAATGTTTTCAAAAACGACATGGACTCCCGTTGGGATTATACACTGGATGCATCCGTCTCCAAGGATGCCTGCAACGGACGAGCTCCGTTGCTACACGATCCTTCCATCTTCGGTGGAGCCGACCCCGCACAAACTGGAAACCAACACAGGCCAGAACACACGTTGGACTGATGAAAGACGCACCGCTAACCCGAAACGGACCAGTCAACTTCATTCAATCGGCACAGCAACAGAGCGCAGTGATGATGGTCTACGGACACGATAACAACACAGCCAACACCAATAAGCTGTTCAATCTGTTCTGCCTGTATGGAAATGTTGTCAGGATCTCGGCAGGATAAAGTTCCTGAAGACCAACGAAGGTACCGCCATGGTCCAGATGGGAGACGCCATCGTTGTTGAACCAGTCGAACGCAGCATCCATCACTTGAACAACATCGAATGAATGGAAATGATGTGGCAAAATTCAAATTGCATTTTCCAAGCAGAACTACTTGTCAGAGTCCACCAACCCGTACACCATGCCAGACAATTCGATAAGCTTCAAGGTCTACAGCGCCTCCAAGAACAATCGCTTCCCAGGCCAGCAAAAATCGCATTCTCCACTTCTTCAATACCCCACCCGTATGCCGTCCGAGGATCTGCTGCTGACTGCATTCACCACCAAGGACAACCACCCGTCGCAAGTGCGAATGTTCCCGCTGAAATCGGAAAGTTCCTCCACCGGATTGGTCGAGTTCTCAAGCAACCCTGGCGAACGCCATCACAAAATTCCCGTTCATTATGAACTTGTGCTTCTCCTCCTCCAAGAAGATTAACGGTGCGTGGAGCAACGAGAACATCGAAAACACGTTAGCTTTGAAAGAGCCGAAGTTTGTTTTTCTAAGAACAGAAAGGATTTTCCTTTTTATGTGTAGTTAATTTTATAATTCGTTATTAGGTATAGGTAATTTCTTATTGTGTTGGAAGTGCAAAAAGTCAAGAGAGTACAAATAATTTGTTGAACTATTTGAGATTTTGCCAAGACGGTCCTCCAACATTATACGTTGAATGATGGAATCTTTGGTGTAGCAGCCACCGCCATGGATGTATTCGAGCAGTTTGAATGGTCGGATGGTATAGTTTTTGTATGGTTGTTGACTTTCCGATTAAATCTCAAACACCGCTTGTCGAGACCGGACCGAGATTTCCATCGTCGACCACGGCTATACGAATTAGCGATGCAACTCCCGCGGCTGCTTCCAATGCTGCTGCTACTGCTGATCCTTCTGCTGGTTCGTCTCCTGTAAAATTCGCCAAAAAAGACGGACCAGCAGCAGCATTGGAAGCAGCCGCAGCCGTGGGAGCTGCATCGCTAGTTAGTGTAGCCATGACCGGAAACCTTGTTCAGGTCAAGATACCGATGTCAGCTGTTCTTCGTCTGGGAGGAAATGTGGATGCGACTGCCGTCACGGGTGTAACGGTTTTGAGAATCCATGGCGAGACTTGGTGGAGATTCACGGTTGTTTTGAAAGTAATTTGATTATATTGTGGCAACATCAATAACAAATTTTGACACATGCACACTGCAAGCGCAGAAAAAGTTCAGTGTTGCCAGTAACTTTAAAGATCATAAAAATTGTAACCATGGGTGCCAAACAGCACCAATGACTTCGCCCGGGTGTGCCCAAGTTTGATTTTGGCACACTGTGTAGAGTGACCAACCCCTTGGAGCCAATTTAAAATCGTTAGTTTCCACCGGTTGATATTACTGTTGTACTTGGCAACGGTCATCGCCTTGATGACCTAGCTCATCCTGTAAGGAAATTCACGGTTGAAGTTATGAAATCAAAAATCGGATCGTGTCAACAACAATGATTGTCATTTTGACACATGCACAGAGCAGGCGCAGATATAGTACAGTGTTGCCAGTAACTTTAAATATCATGACAATTTCTAACCAGGGGTGCCAATGAAAATGCCCACGTGTGCCCGTCTGTATTTTTGGCACACTATGCGGAGTGGCCAACCCCTTGGAATATCCTTATAGATCTTCGCAGAATTATTTTGGATGTGTACCCTCAAAATTCGCTACCTACGGCATTATTCACGATTCCTGGAATCCTCTTCACTCTTGGGAGTTCCTCTTAGGGATTTTTCGAAAGCTAGCTAGAAAATCTTCTCAGAAATACCTTGGTGTTATCTTCAGAACTCTTTCTAAAATCTGTTCAAATTTGCTTTAAAAAAAATTCTAAAATTCTCTTAAAAGATCTTCAAAGTGACTGTATTTTGAAAATCTAATCTTTTCTTCGAATACCACACACTCTTTTGGATAATCTGAGCGCCCGTTTTGTTCCACCATCTCTTCATCTATGTTGTAAGTTGCGGCTTACCTGCCCGATTTACTCCGGCGGGGCGGCTACGAGCAGAGTACTTCCCCCAAAGACGTTCGGATTTGGATGGATTGATGAACGTCTATTAAAGGGTGATACGGTCAAAATTTGGTCAAGGGAAAACGCGTGTAAATCGGTGAAATCAAATTAAATTTCTTTTTCAAGTTCAATTAGTATAAAATTCAGGAAAAATATTCAGTTAGGCTTCCGCTTCTCCAAATCAGAATTGCCGGGCCTTACGCTTGACCCCTGCCATCAGATTTTGTACAGCCACCTTGTCCACCTTCTTCGCCGCAGAAAGCCAGTTTGCCTTGAACTGCTGCTCGCCCTTAGCAGTTTTTTTGGTCTTCTTTAGGTTCCGCTTGACAATAGCCCAGTATTTCTCAATTGGGCGGAGCTCTGGCGTGTTGGGAGGGTTCTTGTCCTTGGGAACCACCTGCACGTTGTTGGCGGCGTACCACTCCATGGCCTTTTTACCGTAAT